ATCTTCTTGACTCTTACAGACATGCTGAAGAGTGAAAATAAGAAGAAGTTATTCTATAAACAGAGAATGAAAAGATTGTTAAGAAGAAAGAACTGTGAGAACTTTCTTATCTCAGAAGCTTATGAGATCTTTATAAGATTGAAACAGATATTTATAAATACAGTGATACTGTTTCACTTTGATTTCTTACTCTTAATTAGATTAGAGATAGATGTCTTCTTCTTTATGATTTCAGAAATAGTCTTATAACTACAGTTAAATGAGAACTGAGTTTCAGTGATCTTTTTCTTATGAAAAATGCAACTTATGAAGATCAACTATGACATTTATAATTAGAAGCTTCTCATAATAGTGAAATTCTTTCACTACTGATATCACTACTTTGAGAACCTTGTGATAGTGATTACTGTTAGAACTGATTATAATAGCTTATAATAGTTTACTTCAATCAAGAAACTCTTATAGCAGCAGATTCACTGAGCTCAGTAACTGAGTGAGTTCTGATTCAAGATAGAATATATTAAGAGAACTAAGAACTCAGTGAATAAACTCTCTTACAGATGAGACTATATTAAGAAGATCAGAATAACAGACATAGAGAGACTAGAGAAGATAGAAAAGCTTCACAGAATACTCAGACTGAGTGTTATAAAGAGATTGACTGAAGAGTCTCTTAATTCTCTATAAGAGAAGAGAAAGAAGAAAGAAAAGAAGTCTGTACAACTACTCTTTACAACACTGAGAGTTAATACTCTGAAAATCTCTGTGAGAATTCTTGAAGAGAGTATCTATAATCTGAAGAGTTTGTGAGCTTTGAGAAGTATTATAAAAGACCTGATGTAAAAGAAAATAGAGTATAAGTCTTTATAAGATCTTCTATTCAGATTGTCTGAACTGCAACTGAAGAATGAATATACTTAATATATTTAGAAACTGCTTACAGCAAGGATCAATTCTGCAGAAATAAAGAATTAAAGAGACTTAAATAATCTCTTATAAAGAAAGAGCTGAATTTATATATCTATGAATAAGTTTCTATGTATAGAATTTATTAAAAGATATTATAACTCTTCTCTAATAGATCATTTTACAGATACTAGAACTTATGAGTTACTTATAAAAAAATACTTCTGATCAAAGATGTGAGAACTTATAAAGAAGATAGTGAATTCTTGTATTATTTATCAGAGTTTACAGATAGTACAGTTCAAATTATATAAAGAACTTACTTCTTTACTCATCTCATAGAAATCTTGAGAATAGCTAGAAATAAATACTCTTATAAGTCTCTCTGAAAGTAAGAATATATATAATATCTGCTTTAACAGTGTGCTGATGATAGTGAATTACTTTATTAAAATAGCACACTTTATACTCATCTATAAGAACTTGAAGTCAAAGAATTTAACTTATATCTTCATCTACAATGTGATCTGATTGCATGAGTTATCTATAGATATTATCTTAAATAAAGAATTAATTATTACAGAGAAGTTCTGATCTGATCTGATAATTATACTGAAGATCTTATAAGATCTAAGCACAACTTTTCATTAATAGACAGATAATCAGATAGAATATCTGATAAGTATATTAAAATAGTATCTATAATACTTTGTTAATTATAATCAGAATGACTGAGTATATTAATTATCACTTACAGAGTTTATATACAACAACTCAAAGTATGTCAGCACAGATAAAACTCTCTTTGAGATACTCACTGAAACTCATCTGTGAATAATCTTGATAAATCTATGAGAGTATACTATAGAGTGTGATAATATCTGTGAATAGACTGAGAGAATTCAGAATATCTGAGAGAAAGTCTGTGAATTCTTAAGAATTATAGTACAGATAATTATTACATTTAATATAAAGATTATCAGAAATGCACAGATTTCAGAGAAGCTGAATATCAGAGTATACACAGTTATAACAGAATCTGAGAGACTGACTATCTGTGTGTATGACTAGATATCTCTTATAAAGCTATGTTTACTTTCTCAGTTATGCTGAAGTATTCAGTCTGAAAATAATTGAGATATGAAAAGAAAGCTCATCTACTCAGATTAACTTCTGTCACAAATTTATAACATTTGCATTGTCTTAATTATTCAGATTTTACAGGTATCTGAGAACTCATCTCTCATTAATAATAAGATTGTGAAAATGTGTCACAGTGTGAGAATCATTAATAGAGAATCTAGACATATTTGCATATATCTGATCAGAGATTATATAAGTAGAGAGAGAGTGATTGTAAATCTGCAGAACTGTAGAAGACACTGATAACACTGAGAGCTTTGTAAGAACTGTTAGCTAGAGTCTGTAAGAAATTACTTATAGAGAGACTTACAGTAAAGAATAAGACTATACTACTTAAAGTCAGAGACTGATCTAAGAGAGATATGAAATTAACTACTGATCTGAAGATTGAGTATGATAATAAGACTGAAAGAAGTGAAGACACTGTTATAAACAGTGATATCTCTGCTTTATTAGCTGATAAAAAGTAATCAGAGAAGTTACAGAGATACTTATAAGAAGCTCAGCAGTAGTCAGACATTATTTATAAAGATATTGAAATTGAAAAAATTTTTATTCTTGAAAAGTTCTTGAATTAATATACAGATATTATTAGAAACACTCTCTCTCTATTATCTGAATAGAAATACTTTACAGATGAATGAGAATACTCACAGTTTATAAAAATAAGAGCTATTATAGAAAAAGAAAAAAGAAGATAAGATTCTACAGACAGATCTGAGATATTTATACTACTTTAGAGAGATTTACTTATACTGTAAGTGATTTTATAAAACAGTCAGATTACTCTAGTAAATAAAGAATAATTATAAATTACAGATCTGAATCTTTCTATGTAATTATAAAGAGTGATTACAGACTGTAGATATCTTGATTCTATAATTCTATAAAGTTAATAAAAGAATGAAAAATTCCTTATAATTCTACAGTGTCAAAGAACAATGATTTATATGAATAAGTGAAAGATTAACTTACAAATACTTCTCTTTAATAAAGATAATCTCACAGAGAGTGATTTATCTATGAGATGAATGTATATAATAATTACATAAGAATCTTATAAAAATAATTAAGAGTCAACTGAAACTCTTCTATATAAAAGATGTGAGATAAATCTATGTAATAATTAGAGAATTATTATTATTATTATTCTTCAATTATAGGTGTATGTAGTCAGAGACTATGACATCTACCTGAGAACTTTTAGTTCTCAGAGTTTTTCCTATATCTGTAAAGTTAACTATTATACATTCATCAATTTCAGATATGTAAAATCAGAAAATTCCAGCTCAGAATACAAAAACTGTTTATAGTTAGAGAAGAATCTGTAAATTATAAAGAATCTTATAGAATAAGAAACTGAGTGATAGACTCTTTTCTCTTTATAATAATAAGAGATTTTTTCTTACTAAGATTTTTTTTATAGATATGAAGAATTTTTAGTAAGTATCACTGCAGTGCTGAGCTGATTCTATGAAGTTACTCAGTGAAAGACTTCATGAATAAAGTCTTAGAGAGAGAAAGATATATAAGAAATCTCACTTCTTACAGATTCTTTATCTCTATTTCTATCTCTTATATAATTAATAGAGTTAGCAGCTCTTGACTACACACAACTGTATAGACTGAAGTTCATGAATACTATTTATAACTTAGCTTGAATACTATTATATATTTAATCTCTATATTTATCTTTCTATCATGAATACTTCTAGTAGTTAATAGTACATATTACATCAAGCTGCAAACATCTAAATAATCGCCTGTGAGTACTTATTCTTACACAGAATCAGAATATTTAATAATCTTATTATTAATTTAATTAATTTCATTACATAGTTTTAATATTAAATAGTAGTCTTATACTGTCTCAGTAAGACTTACTATCTACTCTTATTATATTTTTTAAATGAGATTATAATTTTCACTTCTCAATTTAAATTATTTTTATTACTTTAAATGACTTTAAATCTTATTTAAGTGTTATCAAAAAGTGTTACTCTTTAAAAAATTAAAAATTGTCTAAAAAAAACCTTAAAATGTCTAAAAATAGTAACTTTATATCAAGAATAGAACTAAATAAGATTAAATGAAATCAGTTTCTTATTTTTTCTAAGTCATGATCTCATTTTGAGATCTGATGAATAGTTACTTTGCATGTTTTTTTAAGACTTAGTCTCAGTGAGATTCACACAAAGAAATGTATAAGACTAGATTAAATGAGATTAAATATGAAATTTATAGTTCTGATAATCAGTCTATTCATCTATGTAATAGTAATATTAATTAAAAACATCACTGAACATTAATTTATATAATATTAAATTATATAAGAAAGACTATTACTATGAAAGATGCTTGCAAAATCTCTCTATTAAATAGCAGCTAGCTTGTCATAATTAGACTGACTGCTGAGACTATGAATTTCATGTTTAATCTTATTTAATCTGATCTCATACATTTCTTGATGTGAATTCTGCTGAGACTGACTATCAAAAAAACATGTAAAGTGACTATATATCAGATCTTAAAATGAAACCATGACTTGAAAAAAATGAGAAAGTGATCTCATTTAGTCTCATTTAGTTTCATTCTTGGCATAAAGTTACTATTTTTAGACATTTTAAGGTTTTTTTTAGACTATTTTTAATTTTTTAAAAAGTAACACTTTTTGATAACACTCAAATGAGATTTAAAGTCATTTAAAGCAATAAAAATAATTTAAATTGAGAAGTGAAAATCATGATCCCATTTGAAAAATGTGATAAGAGTAGACAGTAAGTCTCACTGGGACAGTATGAGACTACTATCTAATGTTAAAACCATGTAATGGGATCAGTCGAATTGGTAATGAGACTATCAAAAAATCTGGTCCTGGTCCCAGACACGGTCACACGGTCAGTCTAGTCATAATAATAAACTACTCTAAGAACTTCATCACTTTCTAATTAATTATTGAAATTAAATACTGTTTATTCATAAGATCTTGATGAAAGATGCAAGTACAGCTGCTCAATTCACTGAACATCTGATCTTTTTCATTCATACTTTGCAAAAAGCAGCTGTAATATGAGTACAGCTGCTCTACTCACCGAACAGTTGTTATATTGGGGCTGTACTTTTTAAAAAAAGTGGAGATCTGTACAAAAAGAATGAGTACACACGGCCGCACCGAACAGGCCCTTATACTTGATCGCCATGTTTCATGTAGTTTACCGAATTTCAAATCAAGCCAAGTGGTCTAGGGATTAAAAGAAAGAGAATGGAAATGGTTGTACAAAATCATACATGGCCGCATAGCATTTCTAAAACCGGATATGACGACGAAATAACGCAATTTTGGGAACCTATCATGATGTACTCTCTCCGTCAACAACAGGTCTAGGAATAGCACCGCCGGGAGAGTCCGGCAATCTCGCCGTAAGCACTTCAACCCCATCCTCGGTCACGAGCAACGTGTGCTCGAATTGAGCCGACTGGCGCCCATCCGCAGTAACGCTTGTCCAGTTATCGGGCCAGGTCTTGTCTCGATACGTTCCCAAGTTAATCATAGGCTCAATTGTAAAACACATTCCGGCCTTTGCTTGTCCAACCGTCTTACTCTTCCCATAGTGCGGAATACTTGGAGCTGTGTGGAAAAGCTGGTTGATGCCATGCCCGCAATAACTCCGAACAACACTGCAGTTGTTGCTCTTTGCATGCTTCTCAATTACATTACCTGGGTCTCGGAATAGCATGCCCGGCTTCACCAGTTCAATAGACTTGTCTAGACATTCTCTTGCGGTTTCTACCACCCGGACTAAGTCGGGGTTCGTGCGAGCTTTTTCTCCGACGTAATAAGTCTCATTCAGGTCACCGTGGAAGCCCTCATGGTATAGGGTGACGTCAATATTTATGATATCCCCGTCTTCCAATGGGCGGTGGTCAGGGATACCATGGCAGATAACCTCGTTGACCGATGTGCAAACGGATTTGGGAAAATGTACGTAGTTTAGTGGCGAGGGGTAGGACTACTAGGTTGTCAGCTTAACACAAGGTGGGGGAATCGAAACATGTTTCTCCGGCTGACCTTTCGTTCCAAGCAAGCCTGGTGTACAACCTTATCAATGTGGTCGGTCGTAACACCAGGTTTGACTTCGCGCGCAGCAATATCTAATACTTCTCTCGCCAGGCGGCACACTTTCCTCATCGCCTCTTGCTCCTTCGGAGTGAGGATCGTAACGTTATGTCGACTAGCGAACTTCTGTTCTGAACGTGGAATGCCGTCGCTGGCATAATCAGGGTGTGGGATTGAGTCGGGGACAGTATTTTTGGGGGCAAGAGGGTAAACGGGCCTTAGGGAACCGGTATAAGGGTAGGTTGGAAACGGGTTGAAATGGCCGGTAGCTGGATCTGGTTCAGAAATTATTTTGGGAGGAAAAAGATTGCTTAGAAAATTACTCTTCTTGTGAATAGATTTATGTTCGCTCTATATGGACGGAAAATCCAACTGTCAGTTCGTCATCCTCCACAGGAGGAATTCCAGATCCTCAACCTACCCAACTCTTCTTAAAACAGTCCTGCGAACAGAAATGGCTCTCGATTCCAATCTTCAGGCATGTTGGACACCGTAGACTGCCGGCATTGTTACTGCAATCTACCCCTATGCACTTCTTCGAGTCTAGTTGCTCAGACACCATAGTGGCTGGCGGGGTCTCGCAACTCGTGTGTGAGATAGGCAGCCCCGGTTAAGAGGCGTATTTCTAGGGTTTTTGGTGGGGTATATGGAGCAAAACCAAGACAGGTAGAGGTGCTAGTCTGGAATAAATATATATATTATTACAATGAAAGTATCGAGTAATTAGCAAGTAAAATAAGTGAGTCGTAGCAAGATCGTGCTCTCCGGAATCTTTTTTCCAGGAGGAACTTTAGCACCAGTCGAAAGTAACCGCGATAGCCGCCGAAGTCTAAAAATAACCGCGACTCAAGCTCACGTGTGAATGCTACCCGCAAATGGCTCGCCTTTCCGACCTCCTCTCAAAACCCCTGATATCAAGGATTTATTTAAGCTCCGGTTTCAGGGCGCGGAGGACATGGGTAAGCGGAGCGGGGATGACTAATTCCGCTGTTGATCGGATTAATTTGTCATATTCCCCCAGCGGCTGAGACTCGCGCCCTTCCTTTCTGACACCTCACATTTTCATCCAGCCGCGGGATCGAGTATGGCAGAAACAAAGGAAAAGGTAGTCATTGTTGGGGCAGGCCCCGTGGGGTCTCTGGCTGCGCTCTATGCTGCCGATCGAGGCGTCGATGTGGAGTTATACGAACTTCGTGGAGGTATGTGCTATTCTGTCATTTCTACCGCCTTGGTGGGGATAGTGCCCTCTTCCTTCCGCTAGCTCAAGCACGCAGAGATGTCACGTGCATCTGGAATCGGAATACTATGTTCAGTTTAATATGCTTCACTCCTATATGCTTTGTTTACCTTGCAAGCTTGGCTTCGCTGTTGGCGAAAAAAGGATTTAATACTAATTATATCTATCCATAGATCTCCGCAATGCTACGACGACCCCCCTGAACTTCACCAAGTCCATCAATCTAGCCATTTCAGAACGAGGTATCAATTCTATGGTACGGACCAATCGGCCAGGTTTTGTAGATGCTATTATGAACGAAACAATCCCCATGCGGGGTCGGATGATTCACAGGAAGGATAACTTGGGCAACCTGACACAAGAGCCCCAGGCATATGATGTTCATGGCAGGGTAAGGCACAAGCCATATAGTTGACGTCTTCAATGCGCATTGAAATATCGTCGCTTTACTGATAACATGCCCTAGCATATAAACTCTATGGACCGCGGCACGCTTAACGAACTTCTCCTCAACGAGCTCGAGAAATGCCCAAATGTAAAGCTCTTGTTCAATCACAAGCTAACCGGTGCGGATTTCAAAAATAAGAAAGCTTGGTTTGAGCGTAGGAACCCTGAGGACGTCAAAGATGTTACTACCAGCACCACGCACAACGGCAAGCCAATTGCCATCACTAGAGCGCCGGAGATCGAAGTCACCTTCGACTTCCTTATTGGTGCCGATGGCGCCCACTCCGCCACCAGATTCCATCTTATGAAATATGCTCACATGGACTATCAGCAAGAATACGCCGATGTACAGTGGTGTGAGTTCCAAATCAAGCCGACGGACACTAATGATTTCGCCATCTCGCCAAATCACCTTCACATCTGGCCTGGGAGAGAGTTCATGTTCATCGCGCTACCATCGCCGGATAAAACCTTCACATGCACCCTTTTTGCACCAGAAGCCCAGTTCGCCGCGCTGGAAAACGCTCCGGAAACCATCTTCGAATTCTTCGCCAAATATTTCCCCGGCGTATCACCGGAACTCATCCCACCAAGCTCCCTACAGGAGCAGTTCAATTCGAACCCGCACCTGCCGCTCATCAGCATAAAATGCTCACCGCACCACTTCGGCTCCAGCGTCGTGATCGTCGGCGATGCTGCGCACGCCATGCTGCCCTTCTACGGTCAGGGCCTAAACGCCGGGCTCGAAGACGTGCGCATCCTCTTCGAATTTCTAGATGACTACGGTGTGTACAAGCGCCCCCCGACCCCGTCTCAGGGAGCACAAGAAAAGGTCGATACCAACAATGCTCGCGCCGCGGCTCTAGCCGCATACACAAAACATCGCATCCCAGATGCGCACGCTATCAATGACCTGTCACACTGCAATTACATTGAAATGCGCTGGGGGGTGACATCGCCGCTTTACTTGCTGCGCAAGTCGGTCGAAGAGATGCTTGACCGGCACTTACCATTTCTGGGCTGGTCAACACAGTACGCCCGTGTTAGTTTTAGTAATCAATCATACTCTGTGATCGAGAGGAAGGCAAAGCAACAGGGTTTGGTTTTGACCAGTGTGTTGACGGTTATATTGGCTTCCGTTGTAGGGGTTGGTGGGTTTTTCGGCTGGAAAGGGATGTGGTTGGCGCGATTGGGAAGGTTGGTGAAGGGCTTGGGAAAGCGAATTTCCTAAGGAAACTTTTTCCTCGTTTTAGCTAGGGCTAGGTGATATGCGCGTTGGCTCTAGCTAACATTGTCGATTTTGTTTGGACAACGTATCAGATTTCCGTTGTTTTGTTTTGGATATCCATTGAGCAGTGTGTAGAAGCATATATGAGCCTCTAGACAGAAATAACATGTATACCCAAGATATTTATGCCTATTGGTTTTGCTGCTGAACTGGGATTTTTGGATTAATTGTTAAATTCGATTTCCTTACATCCGAAGCAATGGATTTACTATGAGCAGTGCATTCAAATATATTTTGATATTGGATGGCTAACCTTGACTTGCAATGGAAAGGTGACAGAAAATAAATTGCGTAAGCCAAGTATTGATCCAAAAAAGAAATGAAAGAAAAGATGATAGAAGATATTTAGACATATCAATACAGTACGTATATACTATATGTAACATAGAGCAAAGAGCACATGTAAAACCTGAATATATCCAAAGCAAGATAAAACCAAAAAACACCTCAGATCTAAAAGCACGACAGGTAAGACTAAAATTAGGAGGAGGGTATGAAGTAGTGAACGAGTGCAGATAATTGATTTAGAAATCAAGGAGAATAATAGACCGCAGGGTTGGGTATGCGTGGGGGGATAAAATGAAAATAACGGACGTATACAGCAGATATAAAAAAAAAAAAATGAAAAAAACAATTGGCAAAGCAGGCGGGCTTTCCTTCAACCCGAATTTTGCCTCTAGCGACGATATGTATATGATAGGGGTATATATTTTGCCCGGAAGTAAGGCGAACAACTCAACAAGGGAAACTTGTTTCGAACATTAGAAAATAAAGAATGAGAGGCATGTGGGAGTGGAAAAGGTTCAGCTCAGCGGAAATCAAGCCGGGAACAGAACTGGAAATGTAAATTCAACTGGTAAGGCCGTGCGGCAGAGTGGACGGAAATTCATACGCGCTAGCAAGGGGTATTGTGTATTGCCCTCGCTGCGGTTCCTAGGCGCGGAGGACGACTAGAAGAAAGCATATATCCGCCGGAAGGGGAGCAATTTCTTAGGTCGTGGTTGTGAACTTCAGTGCACTGGGGAAATCTAGGGAGAAGTTGTGGATTTCATGTAGACATACTGCGGTTCCGTTGAGCTGGCAAAATCCATGGAGACACCAGGGCAGTGTAAAATATGGCCAGCCGGTCTCAAACGTCAGAAAAACATAAAAAAGAGAAACAAAAAGCGCTTATGAAGCGATCACAAGGGCTGGCTGCCGTTCCTTGCCAGGTGATCAAAACCAGGATTTATCTCGGGGTCCGTGATGGCTTGATCGCACGGTACGGATGCTTGGATAGCTGGGGTTTATCTGAAACCGAGTTTTAGCACTGGTTTCTTCACTTTCTTTGCCTCAATGGTAGGCTCTTGCTGTATTTCAAGGCTTGGATAAGGCGCCTCCAAGGTAGCTTCGCCGTTCATAGATTAGATTTTCAGTTCGGGAATATAGCTGGTCTAAAAATTCCATTGCGGAGGCATCCATGAGAATTTTAGCAACCTGAGTTCCCGCGGATATCAGCTGGAGGATATTCCTATCATCTTTCACTGGTCGTGACTGGTGCTTAGCTGCATGGCGCATTTCCAAAGAGTTTTCCAAGACTGTCACAAACTGCTTAATTTGGTTATTATAAAGAACTCTTGCAGGAATCCGGCGCTTGGTGGCTAATCGCTTTAAGAGATAGACCCATTCTGTCCACTCCCGGTCCGCTGGTATTCTCACCTGTCTCTTGTCTGGCTCCAAAGGGATGGGGAATTGATATTTTGCAACAAAATTGAAAGCACACCGGGACAAACAATCATTGACTTCACATAGGATCCTATCCTGCTCTTGGACATCCAGGCTAGTGGGCAACTGAGGCAAATCTTTCTCCTGTTCCGCAATAGTTCCTGGAGAAAGCTTGTTTAAAAGCTGAGTAGGTCCATCAAACTCATCGCGGTTGGATGGCCGTCTCTGTTGGTGATGTTTGGCACTGCTTTTCGTGTTTTCTGGTATCCGTCTCTTGGTATGCTCAGGAAAGAGATCAAACGTCTCCATTGAAGTGGGTGAATCAGGGTCTCGCATCACAAAATCATGGGAAGAATACCCAGGTTGTGCATCCCTTTCGCCAAAACAAGGCGGGGGACGCGGCAGTGCGCCAATCGGTCCTAGGTTTGCTGGAGATGAAACATATGAATATCGATCGTAAGGCGAGGAATTGACTAGTATTCTACCAGTGTTGCTGTATAAAATATGATGTTCATTGAATCGTCCACGATCGGGCGATCGAGATGGCTCCAGCCTTTCTCGAGAATGCTCCCACGATAGAGGCGAAGTCCTATTTCCACTAAAACAAATGACAAGATCTCAGTGTCCATTTCGCGTGGTTAAGCAATGAAATCCGGATCTACCTAGAATGGTACAGCCCAGGAGCCTCTGCTGTTGGCCGATATGTCTGCGGTTCATATTCTCGATTTAGGACACTGGCGCTAGCATGATTTAAGTGAGTATAGTTGTAAATTTCTTCGGTCCTCTTTACTTAGTGATCAATTTTCACTGACCTTCGAGGAGGAGGAGGAAATGCAGCTATCTCACTGCTCACTGGGTAATAAGCTTCATCCCTAATTGCCGCTCTTCCTGGGTAGGGGAAATGTCCTTGAGAAGACATGATTATGTTTGACGGTCATGGATATCAAACTAGATATCAGAAAGCAAATCATAAAGTGATATCAAGGGGGACAATATGCTTCTTATATGATACCGGAAAAGTTTTATCACTAGACGTGCGTAAGGGGGGGTAATTGGCCTCAACCCGGCCCAAGCAGGGTGAAAGTGCTCCACAGTTAATTGGAATCGAATGATTATAATGACGTTGGCAAAGGCAACAAGACAGACACGACCTTGAATGGGATGAGGCCTCGGGGATAGTACTCGAAATATGCTATTTTATCCCATTTCCAAACCGTTGAAGGAAATCGAATGGGCTCCTAGGGCTGGCAAGTGGCAACATTAGTTCCATCTGGCTCTCCCAGTCGAATAACTTACGCAGAGCGAAAAGAAACAGGAGACCTGAAAGGCCAAAACAAGGTCACACCGCCAAATCAACGCAACGTACGCGATCATGTTCCTTCAAGTTCCAGACAACCGAGAGCGCATCGCCTATCAGACAACGAGGGCGGTTTCGCATTACCCAGGAAACTTTAAATGAATGATTGCGATTTGCCACTTTCACCTGTTCCTGGAAGAATCTCAAGAGCCAGGATTATTCTTTTGGGACACAGGGAAATGCGCCAAGCTGCCAGAGTAACAGGGCCAACAGGATTACAAGGAGCCAGAGCTGAGCCCTGGTTTGGGCAGCAATAATGATCAGCGTCCCACAAAAAAGGAACCTTCAAGCAAACCGTGATCGGTTTCCATAATTATTATTAGCTTCGCTATCAGCCAAATCGAAATAACCCGCGGGCGGGGTGACGGATCTCCACTCGGCGAACAAGGTTGGTGGTTACCCATTCCTGTCGCAGGAGAAATACATAAATTGACGAGATCCAATCTCTCAATCGCAAACAACATACGCCCCCCTGCGTGTAGGAATCACGGATTGACTACGGCTTTCTGGTCGTCAAGCCAGTACGAGCATCGGATCACCTGCAACCCCGCCTCTGTGCCAACATTGCGAATAGTTCACGGCCAAGAACTTCAGATTTCGCGAGCAATAAGAAGTTGCAGATAGCCAATTGTGTGCTCTTCTCAAGATCAGGCAGACAAGGCTGCTCGTGGGTTGTCGGGCAATTGGGCACTGATGCGCATGTCCATTCCGGCCCAATATTGATTGTGTCTGACTGTTACTTTTTGAAACAATCACCTAGTACCCAAGGATGTCCGAGGCCGCAAAATCCACCAGGTTAAATGCCATGACGTTATGTGTAGACAACGAAGAGAGGTTGTATCAGGGGTGCAAATACGTTCATTCAATTTCATGGGAATTTTTCAGTTCTTCTGTCGCTGGGAATATCCATTTATTTACAGTGTTCAGCCCCTCTGCCGACGCAATTCTGCCTAACATTGACATTATTGAATAATACAACGGACAAGAAAAAGAAGGTTTGAGGAAGGTAGGTATGTACATGTACATACATTACATGCACCTAGCCCTCCCGGTACAGAGGACTTGGGGGGGCATGATCCCGCTGCCATGCGGGAAAGAGAACCCAGAAACAGGCTAACAACGGTGAACAATTATTAATGAGCTACATAAATCAACCAGGAATAAGCAAATAAAACTCCTCCTCAGCAACAACAAGCGCCCTCGTTTCCCCTCTCAGCCAAATTCATCCGAAGGTCATCTTAGCGAACGAAAATGGAACCCATGGGCGAAACAAAACTGGGGTCCCTCATCCACAGGACGTGGCTTCATAATTGTACAGGGCCTTTGCCAACATCACAGAATCATATTTCTTGAAAAGATCCGTCAATTCTCGAAATGTGGATTCTTGTTTGGCCAGGATATCAGCGACAGCTTCTGAGTTTATGTCTCCGTTCTGCTCCTCCAAAGGTCTAACTTAAACACTACAATGTTGGGGTGGTCCGGTTGGAACTGTTAACTGTTGCGCGCAATTCTTGCTCAAAACTTGGCTTCAAAAAATCGATGTACAGTACATGTACTTCTGAGCAAGATTTTCGCTGCTGCATCTCAACCTCTTCTTAATTAAATCGTCAGCTAACTCCCGGATGCTAGTGTATTGAAATGGCTCTCGAATTGCACTCTGCAATTGTTTCTGCTTTATCGCAGGGTTACGCTGGGCAAGATGTCCTAAGGTAATATTACAGAGTTCGCTCAATGTTGTCTCACCCAGAGCAGTTTGAGTCAGAGGCACGGCGTCCCCATTTGCATATCCTGGATCTCGGAAGAAAGTGACCTCGTTCCTCCTGCACAGCTACTTGAACTAGTAAGCCGCTTGGGCAAGCTCTGCGATCTTGGTCTAATATCCCTACCAAAGGATCAGGGTGAAGAACCTCTCAGCTTGAGAATATTCCGGTGAAGTTACAATACCACGTTTGGGAGGGACAACACCAAATTTCATCAACGCAAAGTATTTAGACTTTCTAGCGAGAGAGTAGAGGTGAGGGTGAAGTTTATGGGACAAAGCCATTGTCCCTGTGAAATCAGGCTGTCCAAGAACAAATTGTCTTGCTTTTCCTGAAGACTTGGGAGGAGAAGAACCAATCGGCGTATTTGTGACAGAATGCCTCGAGTCAGTAATCAAGGATTTACTTTGCTTTGGATTCACTCCTGCCTTAAATGCGACCCGTGCCTTAAGACGCTTCTCCGGGGCACCCTTGGTCAGCAGACCAGAGGACAAATGTAATGGTTTCTCCCCGGCAGCTGATAGGCCCCGCTCAAGTACCATGGCCAAGAGGGATCTACTCCTATCAGCGGGAGAAATATTTGGAGTTGTGGCAACGCTTGTCTGCTCGAAAGATTTTTCTGCTTTCAGTTTCTTTGCTGCCGGTTGCGTCTGAGCAGGTGAAGGGCCATGTTTCAGTATGTGCTGAGAATCGTCCAGATAATCATCAATAGTTCTTCGAAGAACTCGTCTGCATCTATAATAACCCCTTCAAAGTTCGGGTGCAAGTGGTCTTTGTCTCTGTTCCATCTGGTGGAAGGGATTGTTTCTTTCCAGGAGAGAAAGTCGGAGGCAATCCCGGAGTAGTAACTTCAGGAAGAATTTCGGAGCTAGGAAGTGCCTTATTTGGAGCTCTCGTCAACTCCTCGAGGTGATGGTGAAGTCCCTGAATATTTGCAAGAACTGGGTTTCTCTTAATGTGATCTTGACCAGCTGCACATTCCAAGTTTCTAATTGAAGATTCATAACTATTCTTCTACATATTGAAGTGGCTGTACATCTCATTCCATTGAACCTGCATCGCTTCCTTATCTTCCTCCAACACTTTAATGACACCTTTCAACCTGCGCTCCTCCCCCTTTAGATGTTTAATTTCTTTCACCAGAGCATTATCCTCCTCCATTGTCATCGGAACTTTCCATTCATACTCAAGAAATACATCTCTCATCCTATCAGGCATGTCAATTTGAGGCCGTCCGTTGCAATAGTAAGTCGGCTCATGAAGATTCACCTCTATGTGCTTAGCCTTTTCCGCCTTATACGGAGTAGAGGATTCTCCCCTAGGTTAGCCATCGTGAAAGAAATGGCAGGGCCAGAATCTGCCAAAATGCTCCACTGGGATCATTTTGTCGTACGTCTCTTCTGTTAAACGCTCGAGGACTTTGTACTGCTCCAAAATCAGAGTTCGGTTGGAAGGGGGAAATCTTTGAGCAGTTATCTCATGGGTATCCATGAAACCCTTCCAAAGAGGATGCTGATGAGGGCTCAGGAAAGGAGTCCCGTCCATTAACTCTGGACCTAGTCGCTCTCTCTCCCACTCGATTTCCCCGTTGGGTCCTTCCATTTGGCTTGCTCTGCTGTCTACCTCCATCTGTCTACTAATGGCAGTATCAGCTAGAGATCCTTGGCAAGTGCGAACGGATCCTTACCGTTCCCCTCAACAATCAGCTGGAGCGTTGGTGTAACAAGTCACCTCTTGCTTGACACTTCGCTTGACATCTCACGCTGCGTTCTTAGAGAATTTTTGGTGGTGACGGTTTGATCGGCTTCAAGAAGACTAAACATAAGCTGAATGTAATACACCTGCAAGATGAGCAAAGAAAGAATGAAGAATGTGCAGAGGGCCAGGTTGTAAACTAGTCGTAACACCCAGGCAGACACAACACAGAACTCATTCGTCGTTGAACTGGGAACTAACAGAAAAGCAGACCCGCCTTTAGATTCAATCACTTCAGTGTTATCACGTGGAATAACACAATCCAGTACGATCTAGGGCATACTCTTTTTCAAGATGTAAACGCTCTAAAGCGTCAGTAATATGTCAACAACAGTCCCCACATTGCGGTGTACCTGTAAACCAGCTTTGCCCCTGAATACACCTTCTCATTTCCCCCTAGAATCTATCTCTTCGCTCCATCCTCAAAGCCTACTTGGTATGTAGGCACAAGCTTGTGTGCTTGTTCTTCTTTCTCAATTTAAGCACGCTATGTATCGAAAACTCCTGGCACGCCTTATTGGAGATAGATATGTTGAGAGTCATCGACACGCCTGCGGCATTGTAACAATAGCATTGGGAGCAGCAAGGTGCCCATACCATCACATTCATCATAACCAGTATTTTACCGTAGAAAACCAACAGGGACATCACCTGCTTATAGTATCGTCGAGCTAGAAAGTTACTCCGTAAGGTGTAGGAGAAACTGAGGAGGAAGTTTGATGGCTCAGGGCCCTGGTGCGAGAAAACTAGCCTGAGGTTCAGTGTCGGTTAACTTTGAAAGGCATCCTGCTATTGACTCCTCCTTCATTCACTTCCTTGGCTTATTCATCTCAAGTCGGTCCTTTTTATGTTCAATACTTAGTTGGAGTTACAGTTGAATGTGGTTCTAGATTCTAACTTTTGCCCCACTTCTACATTTTCATGCGCCAGCTTCCCGGTTTAGGTTAAGCTAGCCTAGCGTAAATTAGCTAAATTGGTTCGCTTAGACGCGCGCTTAGCCAAACAGAGCACGACGCGCCAAGCCCCTGGACATCTAATCCGTATCTGGTCATCTGCTCCAAATACCATCCGCAGATGAAAAATGCCCATCACACCTTTCAGAATCGCTCGGTTAAGTATCGTGAGAGCCATCTGCAGAGCTTCATTGAGCAATCTCTTTGAGACGTCGTTCGTTCCTCGCATATATATTTATGTTCTTTGTGTGCTAGGCTTTTGGGGAGATGCCTCAGTTCCGATTCTCGTAGAATGCATCCAACAGAGCGAGACCTCCAAGGTATGAGGAAAGAACAGAATCCCAAGTTATATCGAGAAGGATCTAATCCTTTGTGCTCTTCCACTCCTGCGTTGCTATTCTACAGACTTAAAACATGATCTGGAGGCGCTCAGTCGATTTACCTCAGGTCGATGGCTCTGGGGTGAACATCAACAACTTACATGCTGCTATGTCAAGTTTGACATGCCAAACCTTTTGGAACTTGCTGCGTCTACCATTGGATCAAAATCGTGTGTTCATGTTGTTAAGATTTCGGAGGGCCAGTATAACAAAGTGCTTCTGCTTACCATGAGTGATGGGCGCGAGGTGATTGCCAAACTGCCAAATCCCAATGCGGGCAGACCGCACTTCACTACAGCCAGTGAGGCTGCAACCATGGACTTTGTACAAGCTGCTCCCTTTTCTTTTCATTTGCCTTTCCGTCCCGTATAGGCAGTATCGGCACTAACTTCACTAGTTGGGTAATGTCCTCCATCTCCCAGTTCCGAGTGTCATGCATGGAGCTTGATAGCGTTAGAGAACTCTGTTGGAGCAGAGTATATCATTATGGAGAAACACCTCGGTGTGATGCTGAGTGACGTGTGGGGAAGCATGAAGAAGAAGCAGAAAACTCAGATTGTGCTGCAAGTTGCTGATATTGAAAAAACTCTTGCTTCAACTAAATTCACAAAGCTTGGAGCTTTGTACTACAAGAATGACCTCCCCGCTACGCTCGATACCACGATACCGTTGTATGTTGACAGGAACAGGAACAAGGTACACAGTGCAAATTTTGGCATTGGACCAACCACCAATCGTTTGTTTTGTGACTTTGGGAGAGGAGACCTGGACACCGATCGTGGACCTTGTAAGATTTCTCCCCAACCCTTTTGACAACTATTTTCATATGCTTAACAGTGCGGAGTACTTCCCAGGGTCTACACCTGCGGAGTTCATGATGGCCATTGCGTATTGAGAGATTGTCTGTGCAAGGGCAGGACTCATATACCCATTGATGCCAGAATGTCTTTCCTACGGACCCAGACAATACAAGCCGAGCACTTCGAAAAAACTCTCCGCATTGAACAACTATCTCAAAGTGGCGCCATATGTTCTACCAGAAAACAGAGCAACCCATGCATCAGTTTTATGGCACAGTGATTTGCTTTTGCAAATTATTTTTGTCAATTCTGAAGAGTCAACCCATATCCTGAGCATCATTGACTGGCAATCTGTCAGTGTCTGTCCACTTTGAATGCAAGTCACATGCTCCGGTTTCTGGATTACAATGGCCCGGCTCCTGGGGAACTGCAGCAAGTCTGTCTCCCTGCGAACTTTGACTCAATGACTCCACATGAACAGCAGAAAGCGAAGGCATTGCATTGCATCAAGCACAGACACTACACATTCTTTACCTGGCTCGATTCTGTCAAGTCAACACGAAGCCTTCCAGGCCATGCAGGGTCAGGGTTCACTCCGTCACCAAGTTATTGTTGCCCCAGGGTTGACATTAACAGAGTACGAACCATGCCTCAGGAGCTTGCTGAGGGATGTGGTAAAAGAGTGGCAAAAGATTGTCGGCGTGGGATCAGACGGCTTACCATTTGTGTGCCATGCCTATTGCAGTTCTCGGGCGCCGAAGTCCAGCAGCAGGGACAGGACGAAGAGCTGTGGGCTCGGGGGGTGGAGCTCATGAACAACTTTATTAGTGACACCGGATGTTTCAAACACTGGGATGGCAGGGTCAGCGATGCGGATTATGAATTGTCAAAGAGACAACTGGCTGACGGGATAGCGCGGGTTTTTGAGCCGTGAGGCTAGGAATGAGGAGGAGCGCAAGGCGTGGCTCAAAGCCCTACCATTTGTGGATTACGAAGAGACTGAGTGAAAGGACTATTTCTGTATTTATATTGACCGAGGCTTTCCGACCCATCCTGTTTCTTGAGGGATACGTAAGTGATGGGCTTTCCTCCCATCGTCTAAAACAGCCCTGGACAAAATCAAATTTATGGATATATGAAGATTGATTTGCTAATTTAATATCGTTTTTTGATGGGTTGCAGGTCGCTTGGATGATGCGCACTTTCCCAGGAATAAAAACCACATTTGTAGCCTAGGGGAATATCAGCATGCGTATTGCCTGTGGAAAGGGAGGGAGGGAGAAACGCAAAAGGGATAATAATCATACAGTCAAGGGTCCACACTTGTATCTCAGCTTCGCGCAATAGTCCTGGGGAAGAAATTCTCTAGCAGTCATGAATAGCTTTTTTGCAGCCACTCAAACCTAAAGGAGTCCGGCTCAAAGGAGCCGTACAGATAGCGAACCAACTTCCCGCGCGTTATTGGACGGATGGTACTCTAGTGTTGCCATGATGAGATTTGGATGGCTAACCGATGGGTGAAGATGGCGCTATCAATGTTGATGCTAAGGTTTGGAGGATGAGGGGACTGAAAGAGAAGGGAGTTGGGAGGACCTTACAACGTGCTTGATGAGGGACATCCTCTGTCATATTACTTTAAGCACAATCGGCGTATGAATTTTATAAGAAGCAGTGATCAGTCTGCAAACATCTACATCTTTCTCGGAGTTCATGTTACTCCGATCGTCACACACAATTCACAGCAATGCATTCTCCCTCTCAATATACAACCAAGAAAGGAGAGAAAAGTAAGACGGGGTATAAACAGTTTACATGAATTTTCAATAAAAAAACTTGAAGCCAATCCCCAAGAACTGCAGAAATAAAAATATTAAGACAGAGATAGAATCCGGGTGTTTATCCGCCGTCAACTCAACGAAAAACCTCTAAGCCATCCATCTCCTGCCAGCGATCATTCTCCCAGTCTACTTCTTTTGCACCGTCCGTGATCTACCCCCTCCCCCTTCTCCCCCTCTTCTTCTTCCTCTTCCTCCTTTTCTCCCTCCTCCCTCTTCCGCTTCCTCGATCTTAAAGCGTCCCCCCATCCGACCTCAGGGAATGATAACCATAAATAATGCCCCGCGGCCGACCTAAACATTCCCGTCGCAATGCGCTCTTTCATTCTGGCCAAACACCGTTTCTCCCTTGTAGTTAACATCACGCCCTCTAATCCCTCTTCCTCCTTTTCTGCTTCCTCCAATGCAACAGGGAACTTCCATGTAAATGATTCCTTCCGCGTTACGGTCGCCCGGAACACAACTCCAATGACCCGTGTCAAGTTTTGAAATAACGAATTGCACATATTACAAGCCCCGTGACTAGTGCCAATAAACCGGAGGGGGGTTATATAATATTGGTAATTTTGGTGGCTCGAGGTTTCAGTGACACCATTCCTGATACGCTGGAGGAGCAAGTGGAGGACAATAGAGCATTCTGGATGGGCTCGTTGTCGGATTTCGGGGTCGTTGTTATCACCGCATTCTCTGGTAAAATAGTGAAGCCTCATGGACCTGCTCCTTGGGACCTTCAGCGCTTGGAGCATCTTTCGAACGATTATGGTCCAGCCAGCGGATGAACTTGGTATGTTCAAGGGCCGCTCAAGGGTTCGGACGTCGTTCACCCGTAGTGTTTTTCCCCCGAAAAACATGCCACGATCAGGGACGTATCTCGCACTGTCGACTAAGGACTGGATGGCGTCGGATATAGAAACGATATCCATGATATACGAATATATATCGAAACCTATTCCTTCTACAGTTAGAATTTCCAGTTGGTAGAATGGACATGACATAGAGGCTAGCTCACATCATTAGGAGACCGAGAATACAAATGATATATCACGTCAAGGTAGTTGACGAACACGGTAAACGTACCTAAAATTTCGTGGAGATATTTTAATTCACATCGCATGTCATAATCTCCAGCAAGTAATTTAAAGGTATTCCGCATTACCTTCATAGCACAGAGAAACAGCGACAACACCCGATTCCTCTTGAGAATCTCTTTCCCATGGACTATGACATTGACGATTATCCACCGTAGGAGGGCCCTTATGGTGAGCAAGGAATCTCTCGACTTGTATTCCTTGGTACTGACAACTTCCTGAGTAGCACTGTAGAACTCCTGGAAAAGATTATGGCCTGTATCCAGTGGCTCGAGAATTTTCTGAGTAAAATTGTCATAAGTAAACATATAGACAGCGTGATAGACATTTCTGATTCGTTTCTGTAATGTATTAAGCTTATTTTGTTCCCGCATTCTTATGAGATAGCCCAAAAATACGCCATCCCTCTGCCGAATCCGCAGGTCATGTTTGTGCTGTGCAACAGCCACTCCTTGGAGTTTGTGGAATAAACCTTGCAAATAATCTAGTGTCTCTTTTGGTATCGATTTGTCTGACGCAATGGATAAAATGATTTCATTACGCGGTTTGTCAATTTGCATAGCGCACGCCGTTGTCTCCCCTGTCGCTCGAGATAAAAGTATTTTTGCTATGGCATCTAATGGAGGAGTAGTGCGAGGGGAGTGGAGTATATCAGTTTTCGTGTCCGCAATACGAGATCGCTCATATACCAGGCCATTTAGGGCCTCAATATCTTCGGGTGAGACTTGAATAGGGCGGTCATCTTCAAGTTCCATTTTATAAAAGAGTAAAGATGGTCGAATGCCGATCTATCAAATTAAGGGGAAATGCTTCATTTATCTCCGCTGCGTCCTGAAAGAACGATTTGGGACGCGACAAAAAGTCGAGAACAGACACAACCGGCTGCAATGTATTAAAAACAAGCTCTCAAGGTGAGCGATCAACAAGCTATGTTATCAGACGTATTGGAGCTGCTTTCTTCGAGTGAAACTAGCTGTAAATAGCGCTGTGCTCTCTATCATTCCGTTCATCTCGTTGGTCGCCCAAGTAGAAGAATATAATGACAGCAACTAATAGTTCCACGATGAGAATCGAACGGATCTTTCACTTATCGCTATAGCAGGTCTTTGTCGTATTACTCCAGCTCTTGATTAACAAGACCATCAATATCGACTCGCCGATAATATGAAACGTGCTTCAATTCTTCCCAGAACAGAGCCATGCAGTCGTGTGAAATAAGAAAAAGCTGAGCAGGGATGAACTTATCTGTTTCAAAAAAAAGTAAACCAAATTAATACGAAGCCACAGGTATAAAGGGATCTAAGAGGGAAACTGCGACTCATTGGACAGGATCAGGGGAAATAAGAAAGGGTGGATGGCAGCAAAATTCTTCAGAATGGGAAGGAAAGGGGACGGAGGGATCTCACCATCTCTGAAATTTGTCGACGCAATATGGCCCTGACCTCGCACCACCCGAGCTCCTTTGAAGAGATTTTCATCAGCGATCCGGATTAATCCTCCTGGTCCGATATCCTCTGCCAAAAAGGATATTTGCCCGCGAGGTACGTTCGGATCACCGGTCAACTTTATGGCTTCTAATCTCCCTCGTGGAACAGGCAGTGACGAACCTGCCGAAGAGGAATATGTGGAGCTTGCCGAATCATTCTCAGTATCTGGTTGTTCGTCGTCATGACATTGTGCGAATGGGCCATCCCGCTGCAACACGAGTAAGAATTCGGATCCGTGGCCAGAGTAATCCCCCACCCAAATACCTTGGTACGGCTTTTCTCGAGTCGGAGTATAGAGCTCAGGCTGCAAAGTTGCATATGTAGATACACCATGTCTGGTATTGTTTACATCAAAAACAGCCCCGAAATTTCCAAGTTGTGCCCAGCGCCTAACCTGGAAAGCTGACATGCAAAGATTCTCATATCTCTCAGGAACATTTCCTCTCGGTGTGAACGACAAATTTTGCTGTTCTGAGAGGTCCACGCGCTCATCAGACGGGATAAGCCGCGGCGGCCACACAATCTTTTCAGGGTCGTCCTCATCCTCACGGGGCATTTTGGCACACAAAATGAAATTGTTAAAAACACGCTGGGCTTCAACAGCCATGGGCATTCGAAGTTCTCCAAAGCGCCAGTTCATGGATGGTGAGGATGGTGTGGGCAGATAATTGACCAGTTGCACGACCGGGTCATCCGTCCACAAAGAGACTTGCGGCTTGAACGAGTGTATAAGGACCTCGGTATCATAGGTCCACGTTTGGAATTGTCGAAAGGTATGTTTGGCAACGACCCGGTAGCCTTCGATCATACCTTTGCGCGAGTTGTATCTCGTCACGATAAGCTTTCCTGTGTCGATCACGTCGGAGAACCAGATCTTGTTGCGCGCCACGAACCACAACGGGAATTGGGATATGTATAGCTCTCTCCAGGTATTGAATGGAGCAGGTTCACTAAGGGTATTCGGCAAATTCGAGTTGACGAGGTTCTTCCAGAGGAGATCGTTCTGTGTGTGTTTGGACAGGGGGCGGCAAGTGGAGGATAATGCCGCCAGACTAGGGGGTGGAAGAAAAGATAGGATCATGTAAAGAATCTCTGGAGGCATGAGGACTAAGGGAGAGGTGCCCTTCTGGGCTGTGCTCGTGTTGCTGCTGGTCATTGCTGCACTTATATGGGCTTTGAAGCAGTGTCAGATATCGAGGGGAAATCTTGGGAAGGCTCTGACTGCTCAACACCGGGCCATCTTGTCATCGTAGAAAACGTTATAGCTACCAGCTATAAGAGAAGTAGCTGGTCTATCATCTGGTGTTGTAGGAATTACTGAGGTAGCAGTGGTATGTATTGAACTTGACAAGATGGCAAGTGTGTTGTCGCCTCGACTTGGATGGTGGGTGTTGCTTGCTGATGACATCACCGAACATCGGCACAACAGTCGCTGAGGGACGAAACCGAACTAAGGCAAGCAATAATTTTTGCTGCTGCGGAATCTTATTTCCCTATCTCTGATAATACTCGTTTGAGTCTAGGGGTCTATACATATGGTTAGCCTAACCTAGGAAAGTCATGATAATAAATGACCTTATTCATTGTTCCCACCAAAAGTCTGGCAATAGCAAAGGTCAATTTCGTCAGTGTACGATATAACCATGTCTATACTATCCATCTAATGCGTATATAAATAAGAGACCCCTCCGTGATATTCATAAACCATAACCTCCAACGTTCCAGCATAGATAAAGAAAGCATACACCTCGCTAAGAGCTCACCAAAATCAAAATGGAACAAATAACTGTATATAC